ACCTCATGAGTGACAGGTCGCTATCATTTTGTTGTCTTTTCCGGTTGTATTAGGTAACGCGAGATACGGCTGATACTTGCGCATTAGTTTCTGTTATGGATCAGTATCAACAGTCCTGCCAGTAACGTTACTATATTATCAATGCTACTTTAGTTATAGCCTGATATATGATAGCTAACTTCACAATGTTGTGATGTGACGTTAGCTAACATTCTGTAGCTAACGCCTGTCACTCACCAAGATAGCTGCCCAGTTCTCCACTGGTTCTCCTCACACCACAGCTCAATTTCTCTCCGATGGCCGTTATTTTTTCTAATCCTTGGCTGCTCCTGGTCTCTTGGACGCCTAGCAGGCTCATAATTATAAATCATATGCATTCAAATATATATTTTCAACCTCTTCTGTGTCAAAACTAGCATTGTGATCCATGTTTATTCATACATTAGACCGGCCGCTCTCCCCCATGTTACGTCACACGCGGAGGCTTTTTTATGCGGAAGTGAAAATGTCTTACTAAAACGACGCCAGATGTCACTGTAGTGTATATTTCTGTATATTTTTGGGAAAATCTAGTGTATTCATCATTTTCCTACACATTTATTCACTGGTGTCTCTAACCTGCAAGTTGCTCTTTAAGTGTGAGGGGGGGGAGCAGTTAGCACCATTAGCATTATTGGAGAGGGGATATAAGATGAAGCAGGAAGTGGTGAGCTGGTCGGGGAAGCAGGTACTAAACACATGGACCTGAATTTAAATAAATACAGATTGGGGATAAAAACGGAAACCAGATATAAAAATGAAAGAATCTTTGGTACCTTTCTGCACATCTCGATCCAAAACCTCATCAAACAGCTTCTCCTGGACAGCAGGCGGCAAGTCTTCTATATCTGGAAGACAAAAGGAGGAGATATCATGTTTTGATGCTCATTATAACTAATGGTGCGCTGCACTGAGGGCAACACAATCGCTACAGTAATGACACACAGAGGGGATGTTCTCTGCGATTCCATTCAATGGCTGACATTATGTCAATAGCACACTGTACACACAGGCTCTGTACAGCATGTTGTGTTTGTGTGTCTATTGAACTGTGCACACACAAAGCCAGAACACTAGTGGCTATTCTCCAGCTCAATAGTGAATGGCAGTGGCTTTGTTAAGGGGGGGGGTTGGTGAGGAAGAGCGCCCTGCAGCTGGTCTCTGGCCAAACTCAACCTGCAAAGAAATAGTTGGCATTAACATGAAAACAAAATGTGAATCTATCAGTGAAGCCTGCATAATCTCTCATCCCAGAGGCAGCGCAGAATCAGAATACAACTGGACGCTCTGAAAGCAAAGTGCATGTCATTTCAGTGAAGACGTCACGCCACGGGGACACTGAGCTGCTGTCCCCCCGGCAACGCTGCACAACAAGGACTGACGTTATTCTTCTCCAATCTCGTGAGAGGGAAATCACACACTGAAGATTTACGATGTTTAGAAGAAACTTATGCATGGGATTTAAACCAAACAACTTCTTTAATTGTATGTCCTTGCAAGCAAAAGTGTTCAATGTCAATCTTCCTCTAAGGGTTTGATGTTGTTTTGTAATTTGAGGTGTTTATTGAGGCTACAAGAAACTCAGTCAGTGGGAGCAAAAGAAGCCAAATGATTCTAGGTTAAACAGACTAAAGGATTGAACACATGCAAGAAAGACCAAAAGCAGAGTGATTTGCTCCTCAGGATGTGGGGGGTACCTGCAGGCAGGGTGAAGGTGACGGGGTCAGTGAGGAAGTAGCAGGCGAAGTCTCCTTTGCGTTGATGTAGTGAGGCAGCGATCTCCCTGCGGATCTGCTCCGTCAGCTCGGGACACACCATGGACGGGATGCACTTCGCCGCCTGCTGGTTCACCTGCAGGGCACACACAGATCCATTTGAAGTTACAGGTACATATACAGTAACTGAAGCTTGATCACACTTGAAAATTAGGGATATTGTGGAACTTTTGAAAAACAAAAAGGACATTAAATATATCCTTGCATGTTTTCATTTATTAAGGATGATCAGTGTAGCCAACTAATGACAGGATCTTCTTAAGAAATTATAAAATGTGTTGTATGTATTTGTTATTTTGAGAAAGATATTCTGCCACACAGAGCGGAGGCCATCTTTCTTTGTTGACCTCAGTGACTTGTGTCACAGTGCAGCCTCTGGGCTCGTCTAATCGCTGCGTGCTCTCCTTCAGACCGCTCTGTGGCATCACGTCCATCAGCAGCCAGTGGCAGTGGCAGCACCAGCCAGGCTAATCCTCCACCTAATCCTTAAAGTGCACTTCTGCTGTAATTAAAGGCATTACAGGCTGCTGCTTTAAATCATCGATTCTGGCACAGAACAATTATTGACTGGCGAAGTTGAGGAGGAGAAGAATTGCTTTAAAACTACAGAAACACTCAGGACTTTTAAAATGAAATAACACACTTCATTGAATGACTGTAAAGAATATTCTTATTAAAAATAGTCTTTAATCTTCATAGGAGGAGGAACATATTAAATCTGATTCTGCTGCTGATTCCACGGCATGGTGTCATAAATATGTGTAAAGATGGTTTAATAAAGTGATCACCTGCTTAAATAAGATAGAATAGCTTTAAAGAGGACATATTATGCTAATTTTCCGGCTCATATTTGTATTTCATGCTTCAACTGTGACATGTCTCCATGCTTTAATGTTCAAAAAGTGCTTTATCTTGCTCATACTGCCTGTACTGCATCCCCTCTTTTCACCCTCAGAATGTGGGATGTTTTGCCTTTGCAGACCATTTACATGCACACAAACCTACATAACAGGAAAGGAAAAACCCCAGAAAGCATAAAAGGGCCTCTTTAACCTCCGTGTGGTGGTGAAGACAAACAGCTCTGGCTTACCTCTGTGAGCAGGATGGCGAGCATGTCCTGCCTCTGGAAGCGGATGGCCAGATGCACCAGCGTGAAGCCCACATCAAAGGCAGAGGAGCGGTTGAGGAGCTGCACCTCGTCTGCAGTGAGCTGCCGGGCGATGTCTCCGCCCGACGACTTGTAGGCTTCTATGGCTGCCAGGTCTCCCTCCACCACGCCTGCAGCAGGGGGAGGAAGGAAGGTCAGAAAATAGGATGTAGAAATGGATCAGGGCAGTTGCTCTTCCAGGATTTTGTGTACACAGGCTATTGAAGTTGGAGGGGATACACATAGGGTTGGAAACCTTCCACTTTTTCTAAATGGAAGGTTGGCTCTTCATAGGGAACTTAAATATAGTTGGGGAAAGTATATTTTAGCATAATCTTGACTAAAACAAACAGATGCCATTCAAGTACACTTGAATATCCATGCCATTCCTCAATCACATGCACATAGCACACTGCTTACTGCATGGCTATTGAGACCACACCCCCTACAGGCACTGTGCATTCCTCCATCACATGCACAGAGGATTTCTAGAAGTCATATTTAAAGGAGAGGTGTCATGGCCATTTCCACTGATCATAATTCCATTGTTGAGGTATACTAAAATAGAAAAATACTGTGCAATTTTCCAAACTCACATTGGTTTCGCATACAGCATCTCTGTAAAGTATGTGTATTCAGCAGTATTCACTTTCTCCACTAAACGGCTCGCTGCAGCTCGTTTGTTCTTCAATTAAACAAATGATTGTTCAATAAAATAATAAAAACTTGTTCTGTTCTACTTACAAATAAATCTGTTGAAATGTCATAATGGATGTTTTCTTATGACAAAACCAAATGTTTATATTTATGCTTGGATATGATACAATTTGATTACATCACCCTCAATCCCCAGTTAGTTCCCATTATTCCCATGGAAAGTTTCTAATAGGGAGTATTTCCGACAGTCCCCAGTTTAACTTCCCATGGAAACTTACCGGAAATGCTCCGCCCCTTTGCAACCCTAGATACACACCTACATTGTTTACTATCCAGGATTAAGGCAGAAGGAACAGTGCCGTTCAGAATAACAATTTATCCAAAGGCCTGTGCACTCAGTTGCTTAAAGTCAACTTGAAATGTAAACATAGTTAAACAGTTCTGTAAAACTATTTCAAACTAAACATAACCTTTGTAAAGGTAGTATTCATGATGGTGTGTACCTAAAAGATTAGCCTCTGAGTGTATGCGAATCTTCCATGATAAAAAAATAGTCTTACTTCACTTATCAAACACAACTGTAAAAGTGAATGTTGAAAGACAGGAATCCTTTTGAAACCAGCACTATTCATGTTAATGGATTAGACTGGCTTTTGGAGCAGTTCCAACTCTGTGCCCTTGCTTGTAATAGAAGCAATATTTAACAGACAGCTCGTCATGTTCAATGAAAGGGCTGCAGAAACATCCATCAACCTGTGCTAACACATCTTTCTTAGTCACAAGCCATTAATATGAAAATCAAGCAGGATTAGCATCACAAACTCAACTCCAAGAGATTTAAATGCTCAATTATGTCATGGTTAACGCCTCTCGTGAAGTAAATCCACATTTCAGATGACCTCTAGATGTAGCCACTAGCTGACCCGGTGTGAGAGCAGTTATCACTCAGGCTACGACACAGCAGAGCAGCAGTGTAGCTTATGAAGCAGAGCTATCAGAGAGCTGTGTCAAACAGAGGACAGTCTGTGCAGATTAGCCCCCCCACCCCCCCTTTGGACGTAGCAGTCTCAACATCTGTTGTGAGTGAAATGAGCAGCAGCGAGGTAGCACACTGCAGCAGCTCGCTAATTCTAACAACTGCCTTATGGGAGGCTGGTGACGCAGGGAGAGGACCGTTACCTTGAGAGAACCGGCACCTGGAACGTCTCGTCCCTTTACTTTAATAACACTGATCCATAAATGGATGGTGAATGCTTTTGGCTGCAAAATAACTACTGGGATGATGAGGAAGAGCCTTCAAAATAAAAGTTATACAATATATTAACCGGTTTTCCTGTGTATAAAGAAAGTAGATAAAATGCACATTACACGGGCTTGGTTTAGGTTAGTGTTGTCACGTGTGTACCAATGCCACATTGCATATGTTGAGCATTCCCTCTATGAAATGCCAACATTACGTGCACTTGAATGTGTTGTTGATCTGTGCCGTCTCAAATTGCAAAAACACCATGATGAGTGCTTTGTGCTGCATGTCATGGCCCTCACTTTCTTATTGTATTTATTAAATAGCCCTATATTGTCCAATTCAATAATAACAAAAAAAGAAAATGGCAGAATGTGACAACACAATTAAATGTGTGGAAAAATTATAATAATAATAATAATAATAATCTTTTTGTGCTAATTAAATAGGTAGTAATGTCCCAAATGTGCAGTTTGGTTAACAACTCAGTCCACTTGCATTCAGTAAAATAAATGAAACACTTAAGCCGGTATTTGCATCTTTAAGAGTACGAGCCTTGAGGTTCCCTGGACTTAAAGAATGCGTGGCTTTTTGAAGTCTTGTCCTCTGCGTTCTTTTTTCACATGAATGTTTCTTAAATTAAGCGCCAGAGTATACTATTAAGATTAGCACATAATGTGTTCTTTAGCAGATTCATAAATTGTGTGGAATTGGGACACATTCTAAAAACCTTAACATTATGCCAGGATCAGTCTATACAAGTCTCCAAACCGCCTAAACAGCCAGAAATGGGGCATCCTGAACACCAGGGGTGTTGGACAGATATCAATGCACAAATCCATATCATCTTTTTAGACATCACATAAACTGTAAATGTCCTAATGAGCGACATCATACTATAAGAATATCATGTTTAAAAAGTTAAATATTATCTGCAACGGCAAGACAGGCCGGTTCATTTGTAAACAAAAAGGACATTTTCAAACAGGCTGCTTCCTTTTGTGGGACAGTGGAATCAGTGGGATCATCCCATTTTGGCCCAAATACTCTGGATAAACATTAACCTAGAAACAGTCAAGCGAGGAGAAATCCAGTTTTGCGAGCAGAGGAAGTGCTTGGCTTTGTCATAATGTGCTGCACGACTCCGCCACTTCCTCCAGTGACAAACACTTTGAAGGGCCCAACTGTAGAAAAGTCAGCTGACATGGCATGATTAAAGAGGCACAGTAGTATTTAGAATTAACTCAAGAGCTTGAAATGTGAGGTAGATGCACGACAATGGTGGAAGAACAAAAAGGTGTCGAGTTTCCTATTCCACAACAACGAGCAGGAAAGGGCAATCGGTGCAAAGGTCATGAAGACATGATCATGTGCTGCCTTCATGCAACTTTTTTTGTTGTTGACAGGTGTTCATGTCTTGTCGAGGCTATTTTTGCCTCCTAGGGCCTCGGCTCAGGACATAAGCGCCACTGTGTACAGGGTGGCTGGACTGCGAGCCAGGAGAGTCTCTGGTCCACGGCGACACTCTCCCCGTGCTGCCCAGACGGCCCATTCATCCCCACCGGCTGCACGGCACTCACACATCCTCTCACTTTCTCAAAGACACTCTCAGTGGCAGAACAAGGGCGGAGAGGGGTCCAGTGATGAGTTGGATTAAATTACTACAAGCCTTTTAGCTTCACATCCTTACACCGCTGACTCAGCATCATTTCTTCTCTGTTTATGATAAGTATCCTTCCACTACGGCGGATATTATTCACCTGGAGAGCACTACCTTGTGAAATTAAACACTTCTCCTCATAGGGCTTGTGGATGCACACATTTAGAACAAATTCCTGTTGTACTCTAATATTTGGAGGCCAAACAGTGACATGTTGACATTCAATAATGACTGAGTGCAACCCTCGCCTGCAGGGTGAGCTGCCACCTGCACTGTGATGAAATACAACTATGTGGAAACTACAAATATTTGGACATTTTAACAAAAATGGTTGCCTCTGACTGGAGCATCCCGCTCAGTCATCATTAAGCATGACATTATGGAAGAAAACTAAAGGTTGGGGGGACAATGCACATTTGTATCCTTTTTTCCCCTTTAATGACTTGTCCCAGTGAGACCTTTCAGGTGAGCAACTGGGGGACAAAGGGTGTAGGGTTGTGAAAAATGCCATCAGATTCCAAGAACCAAAAGGGTATCCGTTTAAAATGCTAGAATAAACATATATTGTGAGAAGCTGCAATAAGATGCTTGGTTTTTCCGTTAATCAATCAATTCATTATCAAAATTGCTGTAATTAATTTGGTAAGAAAACTCACCAGCGCATGCATTGAGGAAAAGCCAGTCTGTTTTCCTCATTCGGTTTCTAATCTGCTTTAGCTTCTTGAAGTCAACCTCCTGCTCGTCTCTGCTGCTCATGGCTCCAGCTGCAAGCTCTATCCTCTGGAAGTCCATTTTGACATTGTCTTCCCTCTTGGGCAGAGGAGGGGACCTCCTTTGGCCCTGGCCCCCACTGCAGCTGCCCCTCCACCGAGCCCTGTCCTGGATATTGATCATAGGTGTTGGATCTGCAGTCTCGCCCAGCTCTATGGCTTCCTGGTTGTTGGGCTTGGGGCTGTCACACACCACACACTTTGCAGTAGTGGGCCAGTTCTGGTAAGTGCAAGCTGTACATATCCAGTGCTGCTGATGAGTGTTGAGTCTGTTTCTGTCATTGTATTCCTCACAGGGATCCACAGGGGAGTGGAGAGCGGGACGACAGCCTGCATTGGAGCCTGAAGTCTGGGGGGTCTCTGTGGGGCTGCTGGTCCTCGCCCGCTGACACAGGCACTGTGTGCAGCGGAGCGCTCGGGGCCAGTTCAGGTAGGTGCACATCTGGCAGGACCACTTGTTGGCAATCTCAGCCATCCCGGCTGTCCTGACTCTTGGCCGAGCGCTGGAGTCAGGACATATGAGGAGGTGGCTACCACTCTCAGTTCTGGGAGGGTCCCATCCTGGACTAGGGTCCAGATCAGGCGTGTTCTTGTAAGGCTCCTCTGTGATGATGGGACCCCTTGACTTATGTGCACGGCACATGGTGCATTTGGCTGCAGATGGCCAGTTTTCATATGTGCAGTAGTCACAGGCCCACTTTATCTTCTGTTCTGTCATTGTTGATCACTTTGGATGGTTAAACTGAGGTGATAAATAAACGTAGTTAAATGTCAGGCATGAACTAAATCTTTGTTAATAATCTTGAAGGTCAACAAATGTGATTTTGCGTTTATGACACATAAAACAAAAAGGACATTGCATGGAGTTCTCGCGAGTATATCCCAGCAGATTATAAACTAACCAACATCTGTTTGGGTATCTTCAATGACAATCGAGATTGTTGACTGATTGAAATTGAATTAAAATAACCTGGCCGGCTGTTAATTATCAGTAACAGTATGTAGCTTGCTAACAGCCTGTGTTTGTTTCCCATGACGGGTGGCTTTATGGCGTGAACATGTAGTATGTTACACTGTTGCTAGCTGACGAGCTAACCACCTAGCTCACATAGTTACCGTGTATTTTAACAGTTAATGGACATTTTCTAGAAAGAAGAATCATATAACATGCTATAGTCTGGTATATTGTATGAAAAATATGTGAGAGTCTTACCGTTTCGCAGCTGCGCCTGTTTCTGAAGTGCTGAAACTGAAAACCACAACAAACCCTATGTACAGTCCCCCTCCTCCAGCTCTATCAAACCTTTCCCAAACCGAGTTATTTCGACCTCTTCGGTGTCTCACATGTTTATCTTTATAGACACATTAACCTCTCGCAGAATAAACCCCACGTTGGCAAAGCCTCTGTACTCCTTGAATCATGGTATAAATATGCGACACTCCATGGTTTACATAGCCTCCGTGTTATTTAATGGCGTCGACAGCGAGACAAATGAGTAGCTGAGCCAAAATAAACGCTAGCCTTCGTCGCCAATCATCTGGCTCAGCGCTCAATGCAATTGGATGAAAAGAAAGTACTGTGTTGCCTTCATGACATTTCGGAAATATGAAAACCCCCTGTACATAAACGTACGAACACTTATGAAAGGTTCATACAAACTGGGAAATGTATCACATTTCCCAGTTTGTATGAACCTTTCATAAGTGTTGACTGGCAGAATTATTTACTATTTTGGTTAAACTATTTCTAAAGTTTTTCCCCTTTATGTTTTTTTCTTTTAATATGAGGCCCAACATTTGTTTATTATATAATCTTTTTTTAAAAACTCTGGAATAATTCCCATTATATTTAACAAAACAAATGTAAAATAAGCGAACTTAGTCTAAAACCCTAAAGCTTTTTTCATACAGTGGATGCGGGAAGAAATGTAATGATTTTATAAATGAACGATGACAAAATTATGTAAGTCCTTTCCATGAAATTATTTTGTACACAATAAATATATATTATATAACTTATATAATAACATTTGTCTATTTATTTGCTTATATAAATAAGCAAAAAAATGGTTGAATGTTAAGGAAAACATGCATTTGTAGTTGTTTAAGTCGGTTATTGATAATAACCTCTGATTGACCTCTACTTTGAATCTCATTTTAAAATAATAGTTTTTAATTTGAGAGCAATATTGGATATTCTAACACAGTTATGCATAAACATAATTATATGGACAGTTTCAATGGAATTGTTTTGCTATAGGCAACAGAATAGATCAATGTTTACTTCCTGTCAGCTGATTTATTCTGAGACTTCAAGTACATTGCAACAACTGTAGGAAAACAGGAAAAAAAGTGGGAACATATTAGACAATTATTACGTTTAAAAGTGTACAGTTTCCTAAATGAATATCGCAGTAATAAGACAGTGAAGTGGACACGCCTACTACAGTTACATATGTATGACGCCATCCAAAACGTCACATCCAAAACATGGCAGCTCTCTTGAAACGGCTGCACCACATCTCGCTCCACGTTTCTAACGCGGAAAAAGTAGCTGGCGACCTTGTTTCTAAATTCAAGTTTAGTTTGTTTGCCACCAGACTTACGGACACGTCCAGGCAGCTTGCTTTCAGAAAAGGAGCGGCTGTTTTCATCGTGAATGAGAGACAAAACCAGAGCGGTGTGAGTTTGAATGAAGAGCTACGCCTTACAGATGCATTTGATCCACACCCTGTCAACGTGGGGAAAAACGACCGGGATAACTCTATAAAATGTCTCTACGATGTCAGCCCACATTACCCGGTGGATTCTGTGAGCAATGTGTGTTTCGAGGTGGAGGATGTGGAAAGGTCATTCAGTACTCTTCGCAATCTGGGCTGCAATTTCATGGTGCCCCCCACGACAGTTCAGGACGAGAGGGGTCCTGTCACATACTCTGTGGTTAAATCTATTGTGGGGAATGTGTGCCACACACTTATTGACAGGACTAAATACAAGGGGAGCTTCCTGCCAGGCTTTGATGTCATTGAAAAGGACTGCTTGCCAGAGGAGGACCTGTCTTGTCCAATCACACATTTTGATCACATAACTTATGTCTGTCCCAAGAAATCAACCCACCAGGTCATGAGCTGGTATGAGAAGCTCTTTGGTTTCCAGAGGTTTTTCATTAAAAGGTGAGCATTCAAGACATACTATACTGCTGTGTTATATATGTTTGAGTAAGAAAGTAAGAAGTAATACATAGTACTGTGCTTCTGAGTAGTGATGAAGATGTGGATGAAGGTTTTGTAGTGAACCACAAGGACGTTGGACTACGCCTTACCGCCATGGAGTACTGGAAATGCAGCGAAGCAGGTATCACTCTCCCCTCGGTGGACAAAAAAGAGCCTGACTGCAAGTTCGTCATTGCAGAATCACTGCCCGGACAAGGTAATAATATTATTATCTTCAATTAATTGAATTCTACTATAATTTCTAAGATTAAAACAACTGCATTACTGTTTGCTTGTACCTTTTTCAGGCAAGAATCAGGTTGACACCTTCTTGGAGCAGCATGGGGCCCCTGGGATCCAGCACATTGGGCTGTACACAAAGGACATTGTTTCCAGTGCACAGGCAATGGCTCATGCTGGGGTCCAGTTCTTCTCCCCTCCTGATGCCTACTACACGGAGGTAGGGCTGCTCGATTATGGCAAAAATCATAATCACGATTATTTTGGTCAATAATTGATATCATGATTATTAAATACGATTATTCATTGACTTTGAAAACATCCATGTATTGAACTTTAAAACAAATACAAATAATAATTTGAACAGTCTCTTTTTAACTGTTGATTACCCTGAGCGTATAATTCAACTGAAAAACCAATACTAAAATAAATGATACATATATATTTAAATAAATAATATCAAAAATAATAAATACCAAGCTACTAAACATATATAAATATGATAAATACAAATAAATTAGATCAAATATGTTGCAGTGCACTGTCACAACCTAGCCAAGCAAAATAATCGATTTTGTAATTGTGGCAGGCCAAAATCGTAATTGCGATTTAAAATACGATAAATTGCACAGCCCTACACGGAGGTATGACTGACTTTTACAGAACTGCACAATCCCATATTTGCCATAACAAATAAGCTAATACTGACATGATAAATGCAAGAAATTGGCCACGTTTTATTCAACAAGTCGGAAAATTATAATGTTGTAATCAAATAAAAATTACACACACACAAGATAGTTTAGGGTGGCCTTTAAAATATTAATTTGCAGAGCGGTACCGGCTTATACATTTGCAACTCTAACATTTAAACACACCAAGTCCAATTTTTAAAGCACCAATAACCGGCAGCATACCTTTTTACCAGTAGACAGCAGGTTTAGAGATTAGAATGTTGGTAGTCTTCAACATCTTTAAGTCCGACTGCAAGCCTGACTTTGAATAATAGTAAATACAAATTGTTTATCTGGGTTTATCTGTGGGGTTTCTGTTTGATTTTCCTACTTGGTGTTTTTTTAAAAGCACTTTCTGATTATCGCTTTTTTTGTAATGGACTGTAACATATACTGGTTATATTTGCATATTTGTCATCTTCTATGCTAGTTATCAACTGCTCTACATATCTTGTGTGGTGTGACAGGTTGGAAAACAGCAGGAGATTGAGGAGGCGGGTCACAGTCCCCAGTTGCTGGCGCAGAATGGCATTCTACTGGACACGGACCTGTGCCAGGATACCACAGAGAACATCCAGTGAGAAGAAAAGGTGAGAGGCCATCTTGCTACTCTAAATAGCCCATGCATCACATTTTAAGTAATTTCTTGTATACATTATCAGGTCAACAAGGTCATTTTTCAGTATCTTCGGTGACCCAGTGAAACAGGTTGTCCTTACCTTGGTATTTTCTGTTTCCAGACACCTCCTCCAGCTGTTCACCAAGCCACTCTTTGCAGAGGATACCTTCTTCCTCGAGCTGATAGAGAGAAGAGGGGCCACAGGTTTTGGCGAGGGGAACATCAGGGCCCTGTGGAGGTCGGTGCAGGCGCACATGGAGAATCAAACAGTGGATTCTCAAGGAGAGGGATCCAAAAAAACGATGCAATCTGGCCAGTATTAGTGAATGTAAATGTTCTTAAAACGGATTTATTTATCTGCTGTTTTTGAAAAAATCTATGTGAGAGCACATTTGGGGAAAGAATATGCGGAACGTAAAAAATATGTAATGTATTTTTAGATTTCTTTTTATTTCAGTTTATGAATCGGTTACTCACGTTACACATTGCACTGATAACAAGTACAATATTTTGTATTGATATTTATCTTTGAACATGACTGTACTGTTTAAAAAAACGGCACTATGAACAAAATGGTACAAAAACAGATTGTACACATCAACTTGAAATTTTCCCCAAAAATACACTTCCTGTAGCGGTAAAAAAAAATTGTTTTTACTCTATTAAAGGAAATCAACCGACTGATTTCACAGCAACTGTTCGTCAATAAATCGTAGTGAAGTGAAGACCAATTACTGTCCTCAAGATAATGTGCTCTTTGTTACTTAGAATGCGGTCGGGCCACATTTCAGAAAAAGAGCTCTTCAAATGTCCTAGGTCTTAGGTAAACACCAGTGAGCAGAAAGTGTGTGCTTATGCATAGTACTGGAACAATTGTATTCATTATTTTATTTTTTTACAGCTGTACTAACAATCCATGAATGTAATATACATTACATTGTTGTGCCGCTAGTTAGGTTTAAGTAAAAGATCAAGATACATAATAACTTTATTTATATAGCACCTTTCATACAGGGGATTGCAGTTCAAATTGCTTTACATCATTAAGAAATAAACAAGCAGCAAGAGCAAAGCATAAAGTGGGATAAAATAATTTAAAATAAAAACATGGAGAATAAAACATAGAGAAATAGTGCAATGTCAATCACAGAGAATAGTGCAGTATAATAGTGTAAAATCAGTAAAATGCTTTGGTAAAGAGATGAAGAGGTTTTAAGCTGCCTTTTAAAAATGCCTAACGTATTGGCTTCCCTAATATTGTTTGGTAACGTGTTCCACAGTTTTGGGGCGTAGTTTACAAAGGCTGCTTCACCGATCTTCTTATGACTCTTTCTGGTGACCTCTAATAGACCTGCATCTGATGATCGCAGTGTTCTGGCGGGTGTGTAGTTTATTAGAGAGTCAGCAATGTAGCTGGGTCCTTGTCCATTTAGAGCTTTGTATATGAGGAGAAGCACCTTAAAATCAATTCTAAAAGTTACAGGAAGCCAGTGTAGAGTAGCTAAGACAGGACTAATGCGTTCCCTCCTTTTGGTATTCGTTAGTAGTCTAGCTGCAGAGTTTTGAATGAGCTGGAGTCTTCCAATAGCTTTCTTGGGGAGACCAGTGAATAGTGCATTGTAGTAGTCTAGTCGGCTAGATATAAAAGCATGAATTAGCTTCTCTGCATCATTTTGATTTATGAATGGTTACATCTTAACATGAAAGTTATATTGTAAATACAATATTAACAGGATTTTTATATAATATGTAAATGCGTTGATAATAGTTCTATGATTTAAGAATAATGTTATACACTTACAGTGGCAATTGTAATTATTTACATTTTTTTCTTTTTTGCTAAGAATAATGTTTTCTAATGCAGGACTTGATGTTTTCACTGTGGTATTGCTAGTTTTTGTTTTTCTTTAATGTGTACACTGGGCATACTCTGGTCTTTCCAAGAGGCAGATACATAAATAAAGAACTGCTTTTCTGTGATTTTATTTACGTTTAATAACATTTTGTTTATTTTACACTAGTTTTATGTGCTTAATTTCCTGCTTTTAGTTAATATCATTCTCTGTTTACATTTATTTCAGGTTTTATTTGAAAGCACTTGTGAATAAGTTTGAAATGTGCTATAAAATAAAGTGTATTATTCTATCATAATCACTTCTGCTATTGTTCATAAACAGACTGAATAATGACCACTTTATTATTAAGTTCACCTAACATCCTACATGTTCCCACATACAGAATTCAAAGTGTGTGTTGTGAATGGCAAAACCATTTGTAAAAAGTTGGCTGATCTGAGATAATAAGTTACGTTATTTCATAATTTAAACATCAAATGACTATGACTAATCAATTAAACGTAGCTCAACGTCTCTCTTTCTGAATGCCTCAGCCACACAGTCACTCATGATGAACCATTACTGGAAGAACAGCTGCAGAGCTTTTAGCGATGTGCATGCTTTGGCAAAAACACTGATTTAGAGCTTCTTAGAAGGCATCTCCAAACCCACAGGGATGTGCCAGTTCAATTAACTTGGCTATAAACATTATAGGCGAGGATTAGAGGGCAAGATGAGAAGCAGTGAAATTGAAATGGGGTTCCATGAAAGCCATATGCTCTCTTTGTGTGACTGTAGTTACAGTATCCCCCACTGAGACAAAAGAGTGCATGTACTTCTGCATTTTGACAAGTGGTGTCAGTGTTTTTCTTCTTCTCAAGTGTCATCCTCTGTCAAACGAAAGTCTTTCTAAGCAGACTGTGTAGTTGGGACTGTGCTCACTAATAAAAGTTTATGGTTTCTAGGAATAACAAACTAAAAACACTGCATAGATGTACTTCCAATTCAGCCTTGGAACTAATGTGTGGCACAGTTTGAACATAGTTAAACGTTTTAACTGCATCTGTTTGAAATTCTGAAAGAAAACTTAAATGATCAAATTGAGAATTTGTCAGGCATGGAAAGGATTATCTGTTCATTAAAGTTGAGAGGCCAAGGCTCCTGTAACAGGAGTCCTTAAGCCATCTGTCTGAGGCCAGTGTGAACCACAGATGGCATACAGCATGCTGCATGGGGTCCAGTACTGGGAGTTGGAAGCTGTCTCCCTTTTCCATTTACTGTTCACCATATGCTAGCTACAGTCACAAAGTCAAAGAAAAATAACCAAAACACCAAAACCAAGTGCTGTTAATTCTCAAACATTTAGAAACTATTATTTTTCAGTTCAGTATGATTGGTGCATACTGCCCCCTATGGTTTTGCCATTCACAACACACACTGCCAAACTTGTTGATTTGCAGGACTCCTAATTCTTACAATGATCTGATTCAGTCGTCTGTTTTTCATCTGTGCATACACATCATGCAACATGTGCATTGCTTTGCTTAAAAGCTCATGTTGAAGACTGCTAAGGAAGAGTTTTTTGTAAAAAAACTAAAATGTGTCACCCCCAAACCCCTCTGTGCCCTTCAACACAAAAGGCAGACAGTCTAAAACCGAGGAGTACAGTCCGACAGTCTGGAGAGATTAGTGGCACACAACAGATGTTACTCCTTGATTAACAATAGTGTGTGCCAGGGGTGAGCCTTAGCTCCCCACCCCTCAGAGGCCCCCACAAATAAATTAACTAACTTCATGTGATGTGATAGGATAGGAATACTAAATTGTTGAGCTTTTTACTAGTGCAGCGTTTGGCAACGGTACAATAATATCCAGCTGCTTCCCTTTTGTGCAGTAATTGTCATGGGCTTATGTCAATTTTCGGAGGTTCATCAAGTTTAACGCTTTTTTGCCTCCAGCTGTCAGTGGCACACAAAGTAAACAGTGTCCACACACATAGAAAGGTAAACAAATAAAAAGCAATCACATGTGAACAAGCTATATTGGAAAGGGTGGTGTTGCTAGATAATAAAGAAGATAGAAAAGTAAATAGTGGTTTAACTATTCAGGACTGCTAAAACATGTTCAAATGAGGAAAGGAAATCAGAACATTATACAGGCCTGGCTTTCAAAGACCAGTTTAGTCCTGATAGTGCTATAATGCAGTTGACCATATACACCTGTTTCATATTATGAATAGAGACAGCTTAACCTGTATGGTTTAATAATAGCAAAGTACATGATAAAGCCAGAGGAAAACATGTGTTGGTAATAACTGTATTTATTTAGGACAAACCCTTATTATACAGGAAGTTTTACGACGGGGAACTGTCTATGTATACATTATATCAAACATCTTCCTCTTTAAGTCACACACAGTTGGCAGGTTATCATGTTACACCGTATATTGTGAAAGTGCCTTGTCTATGCTCAGCTCAAACTCTGATTACTTTTCATTACTAGAGGGTGGATCCGACCACTAGTTTTAGGAGCAGGGGCGTTATTGTAACAACACGTCTAAAATAGATTATCGTGTTACTTCCTAAAACCAGAAGTTTTTGACAGATGCTTAAAACTTTCGAATAACACAAATAATGAACAAGGAAACTTAAAGATTTGGTGGCACAAATAACTTATCGGACACCCCTCTCCCGTGTCAAAAGTGGTATGGCTCGTGTATGTTGTCACAGCCTCATTAGCGTGCAATGTTGGACAGTAGTGCACTGGGGCAATGTTGTAGTTTGCAGGAGCTGCCTGGAGCAGGACGTGAAGTGAACTGCTCGTCTTGCTTCCTGCCTGACGCCTTGTTTTAGTTTTCTGCTAAAACAAAACTCAACATGCTCCAGAGAAACTAACCAGCTGCCCGGTGCTGTTTGGGATACGAGGCGCTCACCGTGATGCTTGTGAGTGGTACTTTTTGGTCAAATAATAAAGTTCCTATGCTAGCTAATTTAGGAACTGTATCTGGTTTGTAAAGTGTGATGCTCCCTTGTGATTTAAAAGTGTAACTTTTACACGAAAAGTTATTTTTATGCTGACAAATTGAAAAGCGACGAGATAAAAAGTAGTCGAAACTTAACATAGCTGCAAGTAGTTAGCATAGCACTTTTCCTCATGTACAGCCTTTACCATGTCCCTTTTGTCTTGTCTGGGATCTTAATTATATGAATTCAGCTTAAAATTAATATTTGTCGCGTTTTCCTACTTGTTATAATGTGTGTATTACCATTCATAGATTGTTAAAGTCATAATGCGATTGGGGTATGAGGGACGGTTAATAACACAAGTGTCAATACGTGTGGGTGAAGCTCAGACATGTCCATACATATTCAGTGTGTTCAAATCAAATGATCCCTGGTCTCATCCATTTTCTGTCTTAATGTAAACTCAGAAAGTATGCTTAATTTGTTTGACATCTGAAAGTCAATTTGAACTCAATCTGATTATTTGTTGGCAAGAGTTGCATGAAGTTTGTAAAGAGATATATGTGTACAGCATTCAAAAGGTAATTTAACTATCAAACTGGGTTTTCACTCACACATGGCAAGATAGGCTGCACATCTGTCATATGTTTTTTATAGATTTGTATAAAAGCCACAGGGCCTTTATATTTGACACCACATTATTTATCATTTGGGACTCCCTCAGGACCCTTTTCTTGTATGTTACAGTTTTTCCCATTGCAGTGGAATGTTGTTGTCTTACCCTTATCTAGCCAACCTTCCCCTCAGGTATGAACACAGACTTGGCTGACATGCAATCCAACCGATTCTGCAATTTAAGTGGGATCATAAACACTAGAGTTAAAGTTGTTGTTAAACTGGAACTTCTCAGTGTCCCATGGCAATACATGACTGCTAATGTTTATAAGTGGCTTCAACATACATTTATTATAGGTTTTAAGAAGAATAAAGAGGATAACAACTTTAAAAGTACAGAAGCGCCATTTTACTTTTTTCAGCATGTGCATTTCATATTTTATCATCTGTTGCTCGTGGCCTTTCTGTCGAGTTCAAAATCCTGTTTGCTCTGTAGCCTGTGTGTAACATTCTGTGAGCTCCCGTCACACCAATTTCTTTGCCAAACTCATTTCCCTTTCATGAGGGATTTTGGAAAAGGGGTTTGAGAGGGACTGTTTGTGCTGGTTACTTGGACAAGCTCATTTTTCAGGGCCTTTTCTTGTGAAACTGAGAGCCATCCACCTGGAGGGTTGGCAGGCTCATCTGAAAAACAGTTGAACACTTTTTAGCTCAAGTACGAAAGAGGCTGCTTCTAAGAGCTTGCAGATGATTCATTTGTCCGTGTCCATGTCACTGAAAACATGTTAACACAATGTTAATGCTCTTCAAGATCCTGTTGTGTAATGCCACTGTTATTGCATTAATCAATCACAATCTGGAAAATAGTTAATGCCTTGGCTTTCTCATGTTGTTTCATGTATCTGGTCAGTTGAAATGCAGAGTGGGGGATGGATAAATTCCTGCATGGTAAACTCAAGCGTGCTCTTTCCCCTCTGCTCTTAACTTTGATTGAAAGTTAATAGGGCTGCCTCCACTAGATATGATTTATTCTCATGTGGGTTTATTAACATGCAGTGTTATTCTGCTGTGATAACATAGGAGTGTTGTGTGTCTTACCCTTTGTAATTAAGAGACTTTGCTAGACCTCACATTCAAGTTGACAACATTTCTCTCAAACTTGGACAGGTTTGTTGAAAGCCTCGATTACAGAGCTCAACAAAGCTGTTGTTCTGGACAAATGTATACAGTGCAAGTGATTATGTATGAGATGATTAAACAGCAGGCTTGCTTTAAAACGTAGGCCTCCTTGGCTGCCATGCATAGCCATGCTGAGCCTTTGTGTTTATGGTAAGTGGGCAGCTGCATGCTTGTGAGACCTTGGCTGTACCCCAGGCCCTCAACAGAGCCTGATAACTACTATTGAAGGCTCCCAGCTATGCTCATTTCTGACTATTCACTCACTGCTTTAAATGTAGAGTGTGCCTCCTGTTTGACATAGCCTAATGTCTGTGAACATGCAGACAGCTGGGGGCTAGCCTCCACCTTACAAT